GGTAAAAAGATCAGTCCCATGAATGAGAGATTAGTAAGTGACCGGGTCCCTGGTCCCGGCTAAAAACAGAGGTTTTTGCAAACCCGGCCCTGGCTAAACAAACATAATTTGCAGGGGTTACTAGCCGGTGCTAACAAAAATAAATTCAACTATTTTCTAGTATTTATCAATTTCTTTACATTTAAATACTTGAATAGCTCAACTATGTAATTCTAATGATTAAAATTACAATTAAAAAGTTACTTACATTTTAAATGTAAATGCAATTTTACAATAAATTTATCTTATGAAATTTATTTTAGGATATTTTAAACACCCTGATTGTTAGCAATTTTAAAATATTTCTTCAAATTCTTATCTTTGTTTAAAAATTTCAAATAATTAATTTATTACATGATGGCCACTGACTTTTCTAGAATATCCAGGTTGCTGGCTTGTTTGTTCTTTCATCCGGAAAGAACAAAGTAGATCAGATGGATATATGGTGTCTTTAAAAGATAGGAAAAAAAGCAATGATCTTAGAGATGGTATGAGAGTAGTAATTATATTTATAGTGTGTATCAGAGAAGATGATAATGATGCCAATGATTAAGATGGTGATGATGATGATCATTGTCATCATCATCATCATCAGAATCATCTTAATCATCAACATCAACTGTATGCTTGATGATGATGATGATGATGATGATGATGATAATGATGACGATGAGATGATATATATACCTTTATATAAAATATATCATGAATTTTAAATAACAATAATATATTTATAAGGAATATCAATATTAATGCAGCCCCTGTCACAAACCTGACCCAGGCCCCGGCCCCGGCTATGTTTTATCAAACCCGGCCCCGGCCCCTGTCAAATATCAACCCCGTTCGCTTACTATGAGAGATACCTACTCTTGTTAATAAAAGCATTAGCAAGGACACCATTCATGTGCAACTTGGCACTGTGATATTTTACAGGCTTGATGGAATCAGTATCTTTGAGAGCTACCACAGAATTCGGCCAATCTTACTATCATCCCTTATCAGAGCCAATAAACTGAGTTTTAGAGCTGCACCTTTATCAGGAGATAACAGGAAGAGTTCCATACCCACTATCAAGGAGACAAACAGAAATCTATGAATAGAGTCAAGAAGCTCCAGCATTCATTATCCTAGTCACAAAACAATGTAAAGCAGGTTTATATCTAAACCAATCTATTAGATGAAGATGGAGTTCAAGGCTGGTATGAAGAATTATTCTGATAACCCTGTAAGTCTTTTTCTAGGAGAGGTTCTACAAGACAGTAGCTGGATTCACATCGGCTCAAGATTAGTTTTTTTATTGAGACTCCTCCAACATTTTCTTAATCAAAAACCACAAAGTAGGGGATTTTTAAGTCAGAATTTGTTTATCCTAGCCTTTACAAGGCAGGAGGGTATTAAGCTGATAGTGTGTGGTTACTTGTACCAGTAGCGAGGTGATCATGATCATCCTGAACTTGACCTGACCTGGAGTAGTTAAAAGGAGTTATTTCCTGTAAACATTTCTTTGAAAAATTAGGCAAGATGTTTTGAAGATGTGTTAGAAAAAACATTACAAAAACTAACAACTAACTAAAATCTAACAAAATATTAGAGATTAAAATGCGCGTAACTATCAGTAACTCTTGGGTGAATAAACACTAGGATGCGTCGAACGTTCGGCTGTTTTGCTGAATGTTCGGTTTAACCAATCCTTGGCAAAAGTTCGGCTGAACATGCAAAAAAATGCAAAAATTGGAAAATATCATATGTTTTGTTAGATTAGACTTCAAATTTAACTCATTTGCACCGTATCTTTTAACTACAGTAGAATAAGTCAAATTTTAATATAAAATTTAACGATTTATTTTATTATATTTTTATTAATATATCTAATTCAAACAGCATGTACTTATAAAAAAGCACAATATCCATAGATAAAATTAAATAAAGAGTAAATAAAAAAGTACATATACGTTAGGGTGATTTTTAAAACAACTTTTTTGATAAAAACCTGCTCTCACCCCCTAAATGTGTTCTATCAAATACAAAAACACTAGGTTTAAAATTTTTTTAAACAAAAAATATTTTTAGGGGTAGCTCAAGGCTCTCAAAAATTTGACAGGTCCCTAATATTTTGAAAAAAAAGTTCTTCTAAAGTATGTCAGCCTGGTACTCAAAAGAAGCGATATTATATAAAAAGTTCAAAAATAATAATCAATTTACGTAAAAGACATACCTAAAAAATTATTCTCAAAAAACCTGAAAATATTGACTTTTTTCTTTTTCAGCTTAAAAATAATAGTTTTTATGCATTTATACCTGAAAAAATTATTTTTATAAAAATTTTTTTTCGTTTTTAAATTTTTTATATAATTTTGCTTATTTTGAGTACCAGGTTGACATACTTTAGAAAAAGTTTTTTTTTTCAAAATATTAGGGACTCCTCAAATTTTTAAGGGCCTTGAGCTACCTCTAAAAATATTTTTTTTTTGTTTAAAAAAATTTTAAGCCTAGTGTTTTGTATTAGATAGAACATATTTTGGGGATGGGAGCAGGTTTTTCTCATAAAAATTGTTTTAAAAATCACCCTAATATACAGTCATCTACAAAAACCCATCATTTGGACAATATTAATATTCTGTTAACCAAACCAAAAGATAAATTTCTTTACAAAACTAGCTGCTTCGTGTATTAATTTCTCCTCTGTCAATTTTTGGTAGTTCCAAAGAAAGCTGAAGGTTTCTGAAAAAATCTGTTTTACGACGCTTAAAAGAACTAAGTCCTACAAAAACATTATCCAATATTACATAAAAATTTGCTTTTAGAATGGGGTCTTCAAGGAACATTTGTCTACTTCACTCATTTTACATACATTTTTAAACAATTTTATTTCTATATCAAGGCTAGATGCAACAAACTCAGCTTCATTTAACATTGTTTTTTAACTGTCAACTTGCCCTTGTGCCTGACACACATTTAACTACCACATAAGTTAAATGTGTGTCAGGCACAAAGGCAAAAACATAGCAGTAGGACACAGTTCTTTTATTACAGCTTGTGCTTAGTTAAATTTGCCTGACATATTTTGCGCATTGTCATAACTTTAGGCCCTACAAACTTGTGGAATTTTAGAAACTTTCTTACCTTTTTGTAACTACAATCTATAAATTTCAAAAATCGTTTCACAATTTTATATTAAAAGGATTCAGACATAACACAAACATACATAAAGTAACTTATGGGTAGATAAACACCATGCCAGAGATTCAGACAGAACTCAAACATGCATAAAGTAACTTACCGGTAAGTGATTGCTGCGCAAGAGGTTCAAACAGAACATATACTTACAGAAAGTAACTTATGGGTGAGTCTACACCACGCTAGAGGTTATTTATATTATTTATATTTTAATAACTTTGAACTTATTTGTTTTTATATTTTTGCTTTGACTCTTGAAATGTGTTTTTTAATGTATTAAAAATTTTAATTAATAAAATGTAATTTTTAATGTATCTTAATGTATATATCTGAATGTGTATGTGTTTTAATGTATTTTGATGTATATATCTAAATGTGTATGTGTATATTTATGTGTATGTAATTTTTTTATATTCTCTTGTTTTCTTAAATAAACTTTTTTTTTTAATTTTATTTATTAATTATGAAGAAGTGATATCAAATAAAAGTCAACCTGTTCATAAGTCACAAAAAAGGTGATTTATGTTGATTACATTTTAACTTTATTTGCTAATAAGTTTTTTTTTTGAGTTATGCAAATTAAATGTTTATAATCCATAAGAATATTTTTCTGAAAAAAAATTTTAATTTACTATAGTAAGAGTTCGTTCTCATTGCCAAGTATTTTGAGTCCAACATCTAATCATGACTCTAAAAGATGTTCTTCTTCAAAATATCCTAGTCAGGCGTGTCCATCCTTAAGTAATTTTTTGACAAAATCAAAAGTATCAAAGGAGGTGAAAAAGTATTTTATTTGTATTTTAGTTTAAATTTTAAATAGGGTTATTACTTTAGAATCATTAAAAATTTTATATTTAAAAAAGTTAATTATATAAGGATTTAACAAAAGAGTTATCCGACCATGCAAATCCTCTAGAAGTTTGTGGAGTTTCTGGAATATCTTTAAATCAGAAGTATTGTAAAGAAAAGCAGCAGGTGTTGAAAATATTTTTAAATTTTGTTTTTGCATTTGTACTATATTTATATTGGTAGGTTATGGCATTAAATGAATTCTATATTGGGACAAGTTCTTTAGCCAGTCTCCATAGCCATGGCAAAAGCAGCTTATCTATTAGAATGAATACTTTGAAATAAAACAAATGGAGGTGAAATCTTGGATAGTAATTTTTTAGTGGCAGTTTAAAATAAGAATATTTATTCTTGATCTGCAAAACAGATGAACACTAGAAAATACACTTTTTCTAGGATACACCCTTTTCGTAAGGCATCCTTTTTAAGATGCTCTTCTATTTTAAGATGCTCTTCCTATATTCTTAAAACTAAAAAATACACATGATTTATTATTGTTTTAATTATGTTTGGATTATTTTAATAAACAACCTTTAAATATGGATCTTATATTTATGTTTAAGGATTTTAATTTTAATAAACTAAATTTGTTTTCTAACATGCCTACTTTTTTTATGTTTTTTTAGAAGTTAGTTGACTGTAATTCCATACTTTCAAATACATTAAAAGAAATGACGTTAAGTGATGCCGAAATTTCAAATGTATGTAATTTCCTATAAAATTTAATTTAATTTTTTCAAAATAGAATTCAGGAGAGGAGTGACTACATTATGTGAGGAGTGGCTTCATCAGGTGAGGCATGACTACATCTAGAGAGTTACCAAGATTTAAAAAAATGTGAGGAGCTGAAAAAATGGAAAAAAAGGAGCTGAGTAATACAGATACTAATTTTTTATTTATTTACTATGCAATAAATAAAAATGTTTACTATATATAAAATTATTGATTTGTGATTTAAATTTTGCTTTTTTTTATATCGTTTTATAAGCAAAAACAAATTTCATAAATGAAACAAAATGAAAATGATATATTTTTTTTTAATTATTTTTTTAAACATGATTTAATTTTTATAATTTAATTTAATTTATTTATGCAAATTTATTTACATATAAAATGCTTTAAGAACTATTATAACACAAATATTTAACTTAATGTAAAATTTTCATTAAAATTTTCATGGTTTTGTGTAGTTTTACAAGGTTGCCACTCAACCTGGAAAACCTGGAAATAGCATGAATCCCAGGGAAAACCTGGAAAACTCAGGGATTTTTTAAAATTATCATAAAATTCAGGAAAACCTCAGGGAAAATTTTTTTTTTGAAATTTTGTACAATAATTTTTTTTTTTCAAAAATATTTTGCTAATACATATAATAATAAGTTTGCAAGATGTAGGTGTTTTTGTAAAAGTTTGAGTTTGTCAAACATAAAGATTGTGTTTAATAAAGGAAAATAATAATCTTGTTGATGAACAGGAAATAGAAAATTCAGGGAACTCAAGAGTTCAACTCAGGGGAAAACGTTCTTTACTCAGGGAAAACTCAGGGAAAAACTTTAAAAATTATAGTGGCAACCCTGTTTTATTTGATTGAAGTGTAAACTTTTTTTTTGTTTTACTTATTAAATACTATAATGTTATAATATAGTATTTAAAATAAAAAGTTAAAGAAGACAGTGGTGTAGTGACTTGTGTGTATAGGGTGTACCAAACTTTATCTGGTCTCTGACAGTACTGCAATTGTTTCACATCAACACAGCCTTCTATCGTGGTTCTCATTTTAGGTTTAAAGTGTTGATGAAAGTTTTTTTTTCTGGTGTTTTTTATTTTGGAAATTTTTTTGTTTTTGTTAAAACAAAAGTTAAGTAATTTTGATATTTGTTATTTTAGACTCGTTTAATGAAACCATTGTTATTTTAGACTCGTTTAATAAAGCCATTGTCAGGATATACTGGATTTACTGGTGAATTTCGTGAACTTGCAGCTATTGTATCCAGAGTGAGAAAGTTTTTGTAAACTGTAAAAAATTTTTATTGATTTTGGATCTATATATGATCTATATATTCTATATATGGAAAAGATAAAATTTAACTTTATCTTCATAAAACAATGGAAGATCTTATTTCTAAAATTATTTATATAATTATATAAAAATAAAACTCATACTAAAATAATTGTAATTAATATATTAATCATAATTATTTCAGTATAAGTTTTATTTTTATATGCCTTGTTATTTTGGTTTTTTTTAAATAATTATAATTAATATATTAATTATAATTATTTCAGTATGAGTTTTATTTTTATATGCCTTGTAATTTTGGGTTTGAGGGCACAATAAACATAAAATACAAAAACTAAATAAGTTTATCTATAGGTTTGCAAATTTAACTTGGCAACATTATATACAGGGGTTCAATTTAACAGTTGGACATCGCCACCCCCCTACCCCCCCCCTGGACTGTTTTTGAGATCTGATTTATGGGGGCAACCAACCATTGTTACTGAAAAAATCAACAATAGTTTGTTGTCCTTTTTTAGCATGCCTCAGGAATGGTCGGAGGGGTGGCGATGTCAAACCGTTAAATTGAACCCTGATATATATGAGAAATTAAAAAAATTATATTGCTTGATTTTATGTATTTTAGTTTTATTTATCTGGGGATTATTCCAAGTAGTTTTTTTTTTTAATCATTTTGCAGTTTAATTACTTTTGATGCTCTGCTCTTTAATTTTATTTTTTTTATTGATTGTTGTAGAACAATAGTATGGTCTCATATCATTAGACCAAAAAATTTTGCTTCATATCAATAGACCAAAAATATTGCTTTGGATTTAATTTTATATATTTCAAGTACTTAGTTTACTAACAAAACAAATTTTCAATAGCTTAAAATAATTTATAATAATTAGTGCTAAAATTAATAATAATAATACTAAAATATTATATAATAAAATTATTAATAATAATACTAAAACATTATATAATAAAATTATTAATAATAATACTAAAGTATCATATAATAAAATTATCAATAATAATACTAAAATATTATATAATAAAATTATTAATAATAATGCTAAAATACTACATAATAAATAATACTAAAATAGTTTATAATAGTTTAACACGAAACTGATTTGTATTAATGCTAAAATTATTTTAATATCTGTTGCTAAAATATTTTATTAAAATGTTAAAATGGTTTATAATTTTTAATATTTTAATAGTTTACAAATATTTGAATCTAAATTGATTTATAATATTGCTAAATTTAATTTAATATTCAAAGATAAATTATAATAACTTATGTTAAAATAGTTTTAATATTAATGCAAAAATAATTTATAATAATATAATAAATTATAATAACTTATGTTGAAATAGTTTTAATATTCAATGCTAAAACAATCTATAACAAATTGATGCTAAAATATTTTAAAATGTTTAATATTTAAATAGTTAATTGTTAACACTAAATTAGTTTATTATTATACAATTTTTACAAATATTTTAGGATATTTATCTTGAAAACCCCAATGTTCATTGGAATGATATCATTGGTTTAGATAGCGCAAAAAGATTAGTGAAAGAATCTGTTGTGTACCCTATTAAAGTATGGCAAAAAAAAGTTTATAAATTTTGTTATAGAAAAGTCTTCAATGTAGCTTTCAGTTTATAATATACTAATGGTTATTAATGTTTTAAATAAAATAATAATGGTTTTTATATAGAAAAAACTATTTTTTTATAACAGTATTGTGGCACTTTTTTTTTTTTAATACAGAATAATTTTTTTCAGTATCCACAATTGTTTACTGGAATACTTTCTCCATGGAAAGGTCTTTTATTATATGGACCACCAGGTTTGTGTTAACAAAATTTCATACTTTGAATGTGTTTGTAAATTTATTAAAGTTATAGCTTAGTTATAATAAAAACAAAATTTAAAAAAATATTTTTTGAGTTTTATATAGAACTCAGGTTAAATAAATGAGATTTTTTTAGGTACTGGCAAAACATTACTTGCCAAAGCAGTTGCAACAGAGTGCAATACAACATTTTTCAATATATCTGCATCATCAATTGTAAGCAAATGGAGAGGAGACTCAGAAAAGCTTGTTCGAGTAAAATTTCATTTTAACTTTTTTGGCTTCATAGTTTTTATAATATGAAAAGTTAATCAATAGTTTTAAATTAAAAAAAAAAAATGTTAAGGTGTTGTTTGAATTGGCTCGTTTCCATGCTCCTTCTACTATTTTTCTTGATGAACTTGATTCAATTATGGGACAAAGAGGTTCGGTGGATGGAGGAAAGTGAGTCATTTCAAATTATTTAAATACATATTATAAAATAATCAATCCCAATATATTAAAATATATAATTTTATTAAAAAACCATTTCCAATATATTAGAATATATTGAAATGGTTAAAAAAATTTGTTCAAAAAACCCAAGCAGATAAAGCAGCTTTCTTGTATACTTGGAATCTGTTAAGAAGCTTGGATTCTGTTGAATCAAAATAAATAATAATTAGCCACTAAGATGATTAGAAATGGTTTTTAGCGTTTACAAAAAAAAATAAATGAATCTTTGTGTTTACATTATGCAAATTTTTATTTTAAATGGGGGGGGGGGGGGGAGAGAGAACCTTAATAAATGTTATTTAAAGATACTAGATGTATATTTTAATTTTTTTTAGTATTTAAGTTAAATTAAGTATTTAAATTTTTGTTTGAATTAAGCAAATTTTAATTTTTTTTTTATGAATGATTAACTTTAACAAGAAATGATAGTTTTGAACAACTTTAATATTATTAGTGAACATGAAGGAAGTCGTCGAATGAAAACAGAAATTTTGATTCAAATGGATGGCCTCTCAAAGACTGATGATCTTGTTTTTCTACTAGCTGCTTCAAATATTCCTTGGTAGGTACACTTTTTTATTTAATACTTTTAGATTTTCTTTTTAATAAAAAAATAAAAAGCTTAAAACATTAATATCAACTTTGTTATTTAATGTTATGTTTATAGTAGCAAAGAGTAGTTTTGTTTTCTTGTTAAAATTGTTGATAGAAAAAGTTAAAAAAAAATTGTTTTGTTAAGCTGTTGACATTAGGGCCGCTAGGAGAGGAGGGCAATTGAAGTAGTTTGTCCTTAGCAATCCTGATGTCATTAAAGTAGTTTTAAAAATTATTGTAATGATAAAAAATTAGCTGATAACATATTTAAAGATTAAGTAATTTTTGTGTAATTTTGTTCTCCTTTTAAACCTTGTTTACATTTAAAATAGGATAATTATTACTTTACAAAGTTTTCATTTTCCATTTGAACACACTCATTTTCATTGGCCTTTTGTTTGCATAATAAATAAAAGAGTGTTTAAAAATTTTTAATTTTTTATTAAACAGTTTGTAAAAGTCTAACTTATAGTCTTCTCTAACGATCCTGCATTATAATTGTAAATATAATTGATTTCCTGCATTATAGAAATCAATATATATTCAATGAAATATATCGAATAAAATAAAAATCAAATTTTGATGGGACCTTCTTCAAATCCTAGCAATTTTCAAAATGATCAAAAAGGTTTAAAAGCTGAGAATATGGCTAAACTTTACCCTGAAGACTTATGTAAAAACTAATTTTCTGATGAAGTTCAATATTTTTTTTCCGTAAGAAGAAATATTCTATCCAGCAAAAAGCCTATCAAACTTCTAAATGTAGTTTATACAGGGCTCAATTTAACGGTCAGACATCGGACATTGTCTGGCTAAAACCTCAAATTGTCTGATCATTTTATGTTTTGATTAAAAGTCAAGTTAAAAAAAAAAAAAAAAATTTTAAACAATTCTTTGTAAAAATAATAACAACAAAAAAAAAGCAATTAAATCTTGGGAAGATTTAATTTATTTATAATTTATAATATAAATTTATAATTTATTCATAATTTAAAGTAACTTGAAAATAATAATCTTTTAATAAAAGATTTTTAGAAAGAGTTATTTGTAGCGTAACAATTTTTTTTTATTGCATTTAAATAGTTAAAACATCAACAAAGCATCAAATTGTCAAATTGTAAAAAATTAAAAAAATAAAAGCGTTGTCAGTTACAGCATGCAAGTTTAAGTCTATTTAAAAAAACATACAATATTAAATTGGAACTATTTTATAAAAAAAAACAAAATTCTGCGATAAAATATTTAAAATAACTAACGTTAAAAAACTTAATAACATAATGGAGATTTCAATTGCATAACTTGGTTCCGTAAAACCGTAAAAAATATATTTAAAAAATTTGATCGGACCATTTGGCCAACCCAAACAAGTTTTGATTGGACATTTTGACCAGGACCTTATAAAAAATTAAGTTGAGCCTTGTTTATACAAAGGGGCTGCATTCAATATTTTCACAAGTTTTACTTAAAATCTTTCTAACATTGCCCGTTTCAACATCTGAACATGAAAGATTTTTCAGCAAGTTAGCTATCATCAAAGATTATCTTTGTTCCACAATGGGCCAGTGTGCTACTTGATGATCCTTTCAAATAACACAGATTTAGCAAATTACATTTCTTATGAAGAAGTTATTTCAAATTTTGCTGCTAAGAAGGCCCAGCTAATATGTTCTTCTATTAAGACTTGATTTTACCATTGTTGTTCAAACCAAAATTAATTAAACGTGATTTTAGGTTTTCTATGAAAGTAAACAAAAAATAACTATACTAATTTATTTATTATTTATCATTTTATGACTTAAAGTATGATAGGACATTCTTTAAACTTTTGGTTACAAAAGTTCAAAGAATGTCATTACAAAAGCTCTGGCAAGCTTGGTACAACACATTACAAAAGCTCTGGCAAGCTTGGTTACATATATGAGTTTAGTTGAGTTAAGTTATAAAAAAAAAGTTGATAGGTCAACTGTTAATTTTCTCAAAACTTTATCAGTCAAATTAAAGATTGCATTGAAGATTAGGATGGTAAAATCGGTTCTACTAATTTTTTATGGTCAGAAAGATTTTCTATGACTTAAATTTAATTTTAAAGAAGTTGTAAGAAATATAATACTAAACTAAGATCTACAACTTTTTATAATAAAAGCACAAAAAGACAATTGGTAGGCCAGATACCATAATAAGATTTGGCTAAATTATGCTTAAGTTTGAAATCTTTTAGTTCACTTCAAGATATTTTTGATTGACATTAAAGATTTAGAAATTTGATGCTCAAGCATGATTTGAAATAAAGAAATTGTTTACAAAAATTTCTTGTGGATTTTAATCTTTATTGCTTTGAAAGGTTTTTAAATAAATTAAAACAATAAGAAATTAAACAACCAATAGTGCTCTTTGATTTTAAAACAAGTTGACTGTAACTGTGTTAATTATGAGATTGATGCTTGTTAAGTTAACACCAACTTTGCACTCACTAACTGTGAGATATTAGAATGCTTTTTGTAATTGGATAAACCTAAAATTTAAAATTTAATACAATAATTTAAAACCATGATTTTTATACTGTTTTTTGATGCTTAAGTGTACACCACAAGTATATAAAGTTGTAGTAACTTTATGCCTGACAAATCTTCACACTTTTTTTCCCAGCTGTTACAAATATTGTTCATAGGTAATTTTATTAGTTATTAGGATTAGGAAGTGACCAGGGCCCCGGCCCCAGCTAAAAATGAGACTTTTTGCAAACCCGACCCTGGCAAAGTTTTTTTTTTTTTTTAATTAAAACATCTTCTCTTCCAACAAGGCTGCAAGCATCCACTATTTAGTGTTGGAAATTACCGGAAGAGAAAAGATGAAGATCGTAGAGCAAGATAACGATTGACGGACGACTTAAAAGATTACAAATTATATGAATCAGGAAAACAAGATGAAGGAAGCAAATTCCAAAGAACTGATGTTTGAGGGAAAAAACTAGAGGAATAAGAGTTTTTGGAGCACTTAGGAACAGTCACAGAAAAAAGATGAGACTTGATTGAACGACAAGTAACACGAGAATGAATTTTAGTAGTTGTCACAAGAGACGCTAGGTCTTTAGAGCAGTGCCCATTATAGTATTTGTAGAAAAGAAAAAGAGAAGCAACATTACGACAAGGTTGAATGTTGGTAGCAAGAGCAGGTCCAACTATGTTTACAATGCGTTTTTGCACCTTGTCTAAAAGAGAAAGGGCATCATTAAAAGATCAGCCCCAGATATGGCAACAGTTTTCCATACAAGGCCGGATTTGAGATTTATAGAGATAGAGAATAGAATCCAGAGTAAAAAAGTGTCGAGCTCGATAAAGAGATGCAACTTTAGTAGATGCTAATTTTGCAATGGATTTGATATAAGGTTTCCAAGAAAGATCAGAAGTAAGAGTTAATCCTAGAAGATGAAGGGTAGATGACTCATCAAGTACATTACCGTTGATAAATATAGGAAGGTCTAAATTATTGTGATAATGATTGGCTGAAAAAATTGAGTTTTATCTGAATTAAAGTTCACCAGTCACTGTGAGCCCCAAGTGAGATCCTTTTCAAGCTTAAATGCCCCCTGCAAGCAATCAGAGGGAGTTGGCTTCTTATCGTGACAAGAATTGATGAACAAGTATCATCAGCGAACTATGCCACCTTAGATGTGAGATTATCTGGAAGATCGTTAATGTAAATCAAAAAGAGTATAGGGCCAAGGATTGAACCTTGGGGAACCCCTGAGGTTACAGAATAAGAAGAAGAGTGCTGTCCATCAAGGGCAGCTTTTATACTACGATTGGAAAGAAAGGATTTAATAATCTTAAAGATGTTTCCAGATACACGGTAACAAGAAAGCTTATAGAGAAGACCAGCATGCCAAACTTTATCAAACGCTTTAGAAATGATGAGAGCAATGGCCTTAACCTGTCCACCTTTATCTAATGCGCGATAAAACCTATAGATTATTACTGTTAGAAAATCAGCCATAGAACAAGAAGATCAAAATCCATATTGATGATCAGAAAGTAAAATATTAGATTCAAGATGATAGATTAAGTTTTTGTTAATTAAAGGTTCTAAAACCTTGCTTATGATCGCTCTCCAGAATTTAAAAAAATAAAGGAAAAAGATGCTTTTTTCCAGCAGGCTGGAAAGCAAGACTCTGATAAGCACTTGTTGAATAGTTTTGAAAGGATAGACGACAGCTCCAGAGAACACTTCTGATATTCATGATATTCATGAAAAGTTCTTAGCAAACAATTCAGCTTTGTCTTTAGGCGAGGTGACAAAGTTTGAACCATACTAAAGAGGCAGAATTACAGACTTGCCTTTATTATAGATACTATTAAAGATTCTCCAGAAGTCACAAGAGCGTAATTTTTGAGATAAAATACGAGATTTCATGATCTGAGAATAGCGGGCTTTGGCATTAGACAAAACCTTTTTACAATGGTTCCTAGCAGTAATATACAGACGTCTGTTTTGCAGCAGCACAATGTGAGAAAAACCATGGAGAAGAGTGAGGCTTGACCTGGAATCGTTTGGGGAATAAAAGATTCTATGCCAGCCTGAATCTATGATTTTATGTCAAAGGCACATTTTGTCAGCAGTAAGACGAAAAATTTCTACCCAAGAGCCGTCATGAAGAAAATCATAAAAAGAGTCCTAGTCAGCTTTAAGGTTGTTGTAAGATGTACGATAATAGGGGGATTCTGATGATAAAGGAGAATGAGATAATAGTTTCAGAGAGACCAAACCATGTTCGGAAGCACTTAAGGGTGAATGTGGAGAAACTGAACAGTGACTAGGATCAGAAACAAGACACAAGTCGAGTAGAGAAGGTAAATGATTCGGATTGTCTGGAAAGCCAGTTGGAAAGTTGACTATTTGAGTTAGAGATTGAGGAAGGAAAAGTTGTGGGCTTTAATGCCTGCAGAGTCACTGACACTAGAGCCAAGCCATTCAGTGTGATGAGCATTAAAGTCACCGACAACAACAATATTGGCTGATGGATAAAGAGAGAGGGCTTGGTCAATAAGATCAGAAATAACATCAAGAAGGGTGCAGTCTTGAGATAAAGGAGAGTGATATGGAACAAAGAGAAAGGTGATAGAGTGAAGTAATGCTGAACGAAAGCACATAAAAGAGTAGTCTGTGGATTCGAACCTAGTTTCCTGAAAAATGGGTGAATTCTTACAAATGTAAATGCCTAGGCCTAGCATGTGACTATTGGAGTCTTTACCAATTAAAGGAAGATAACCATCAACACTAAAATCACAAGATGAGACAGCTGAGGTAAAGGAGAGTGATATGGAACAAAGAGAAAGGTGATTGAGTGAAGTAATGCTGAACGAAAGCACATAAAAGAGTAGTCTGTGGATTCGAACCTAGTTTCCTGAAAAATGGGTGAATTCTTACAAATGTAAATGCCCAGGCCTAGCATGTGACTATTGGAGTCTTTACCAATTAAAAAAAGATAACCATCAACACTAAGATCACAAGATGAGACAGCTGAGATAAAGGAGAGTGATATGGAACAAAGAGAAAGGTGATAGAGTGAAGTAATGCTGAACGAAAGCACATAAAAGAGTAGTCTGTGGATTCGAACCTAGTTTCCTGAAAAATGGGTGAATTCTTACAAATGTAAATGCTCAGGCCTAGCATGTGACTATTGGAGTCTTTACCAATTAAAGGAAGATAACCATCAACACTAAGATAACAAGATGAGACAGCTGAACTCAAATTAGTCTCACAAAGAGCAAGTAGGTCTGGTGAACTTTGCCAGAGATAAGACTCAACAGAAGAAAAGTTACTTCAAAAACCACAAATATTAGTGAATGATAGGTTTAGCAAACTTGGCGATGACTGGTTTTTTGTGTTTTATAGTTTTTGTTACTTTATTCATTTTTAAATTTGTTAAAGAACTTGACTGGAAACATATATAGTACTCAGTACATTGTTTAATAGTCCAAGCAATTGCCTCATTACTATTAATAAACCCTAAGCCATAACAAAGGGTTCTGATGTGGCCTTGGCCAGCCTAATAGATAAAGAAGGGGTGCGAGGCTGGTCAACAGATAGATTTGGTTTACCCCTTAAGTCTTTGCCTAGTAGGCCTTTTACAAGACAGCAGCCGGATACATTTAACATCTGCCCAAGTTGAGTACTTTTATTGAGACACCATCTCTAAATAATATTAGCAATGATGAAATCATTAGTAAAATAGACAACAAAAAGCCTTGGTTAGAAGTATATAAAAAAAAATAAAACACCATAAAAAATTATAAAAGATTGATAGCCAGGGTTACAAAAAATTTATAATTCCTTTTAATTATAAATTATAATTACTTTTGCTATTTATTAAATATATTTATATATTTTTAAACTCTAATTTACTTCCAACAAGATTGCAAGCAACCACTATTAAGTTATGAGTTACTTTAAAATAGAGGATAGATTAAAATACTCTGAAAATTTTAACTGAAGACTTATAAAGTTGTAGGCTGTATTAAAAAGGAAAATATGAAGATGGGTAAGAGTTTTTTTGATGTGCAAGGAAAAATGGACTAATAAAAGTTTTTATAGCATGAAGGGACAGATACAGTAAAAGAATGCAACTTGTTTAATAAGAAGCCAAATAAGAATGAGTTTTGGTTCATTGTAATAGTGATGATTGCTCATTTGAGCATTGACCATGATAGTATTTGTAGAAAAAAGAAAGAAATACAACCTTACAAAAATGGGAGAGTGGCTCAAGCTTGGCAGATAAAGCAGATCTAATTACGTTTACAATGTTTAGACTTTTCTGAGAATAAGAGGGTTGTTATTTGTCAATAAAATTACAATATTTTTTAGCATTAAATAAATGAGTTTGGTTGTATAACAAAAATTGTGGATTTTAAGTCCATCAAATTGAATCCACAAGCCACTGCAACCCTTAGGCTGTTACAGAAGAAAAATTATATTAAAAACCGGCTGCATGTTCTAAGCAATCAAAAGTGATAATTTTTTTGTCAAGACAAGAGTAAAGTTGAGTCGTTAGCAAATAGAGCCACTTTAGATGTACAATTTTCGTGAAGACTCTTATTGTAGATAAGAAACAATGCAGGAGCAAAGATAGAACCTTATGGTGCCCTTAAAGTTACTTGAAATAAAGAAATGTGTAGGCCTTGAAGAATAACTTTAATATGCTTAATATGCGACATTATCTTTTCATATTTATATAAACTTTAGTATTTATATGGTGTAGTATTTGCTGAAAGAGTAGATGATCGGATGGATGTGTGGTGTTACTCTTACAAGACAAGAAAAAGAGGCATAATCTTAAACAGATTAAAAAAAAACTACATTTGTTAGAGAATAAAGTGGTTCAGGTATCAGCGCGTAGAAAGGTAGCAGTTTCAGTTCAAGGTAGCAGTTTCAAAAGCAGGTTTCAGGAGAAAATGGTAGTGGTAGAAGTATGAAAAATTTACATATTGTATGAATGATGTTTAAGGAAAGACAATGCTCTAGATTGTTTATATTAGAGTAACAGTATGAAAGAGGAAGGCTAAAACCTGATGATGATCATGATCATGATGATGGTGTAACGATAATTATAATTATTATGTTGATCATAATGATGTTTATGTATGCATATATATACAAAATATAACATGAGTTTTGAATAAAAGAAATATACTTTAGGACGTATAAATGTTTATGCAGCCCCAGTCACAAACCCGGCCCCAGCCCCAATCAAATATCAACTCCGCTTGCTTACTAATTAGGATTTGGTCCTTAAGTTAAAATATATTTTAACATAGAATAAACATGCGTTTATTCTTTGTTTAACAAAAAATTTGTTATGTATAACAATGCTTAACATAACAAAAATTTGTGTTATATACAACAATCTACTATTGGTACTAATCTGCATCAATTTAAAAACAGATGTATGAAATAGATTTTTTATTTTTGATCAAAATTAAAATTAAAAACGTGTTTTAAAAAAATGTTTTTGTATATGACTCGTTATTATATACTTTTACTAACATATTTTTGTTGTTGTAGTTTGCTACAATTTTAGAAATAAAAAAATTAGAAAATTATCAGGACTGAAATTACTGATTTGAAAATAATTTGGTATTTCAGTTATATAAATATTTTGGTATTGGACGCGTTATTTCAGTTATATAAATAATTTGGTATTGGACGCATTATTTCAGTTATATAAATAATTTGGTATTGGACGCGTTATTTCAGTTATAAATAATTTGGTATTGGACGCGTTATTTCAGTTATATAAATATTTTGGTATTTCAGTTATATAAATAATTTGGTATTGGACGCGTTATTTCAGTTATATAAATAATTTGCTATTGGACGCGTTATTTCAGTTATATAAATAATTTGCTATTGGACGCGTTATTTCAGTTATATAAATAATTTGCTATTGGACGCGTTATTTCAGTTATATAAATAATTTGGTATTGGACGCGTTATTTCAGTTATATAAATAATTTGCTATTGGACGCGTTATTTCAGTTATATAAATAATTTGGTAATGGACGCGTTATTTCAGTTATATAAATAATTTGGTATAGGACGCGTTATTTCAGTTATATAAATAATTTGGTATTGGACGCGTTATTTCAGTTATATAAATAATTTGGTATTGGACGCGTTATTTCAGTTATATAAATAATTTGGTAATGGACGCGTTATTTCAGTTATATAAATAATTTGGTATTGGACGCGTTATTTCAGTTATATAAATAATTTGGTATTGGACGCGTTATTTCAGTTATATAAATAATTTGGTATTGGACGCGTTATTTCAGTTATATAAATAATTTGGTAATGGACGCATTATTTCAGTTATATAAATAATTTGGTATAGGACGCGTTATTTCAATTATATAAATAATTTGGTATTGGACGCGTTATTTCAGTTATATAAATAATTTGGTATTGGACGCGTTATTTCAGTTATATAAAGTTGATAATATAAACTCAGATAATGTAAAGATGTTAATATTTACTTTATGTTGTTATTTTTTTAGATAATTCTTTTCATGTACGTATAGTTAAATTGTTATTATTGTATAGGGAATTAGATTATGCAATGTTAAGACGTTTAGAAAAACGCATTCTTGTAGGCTTGCCTAATGAAGAGGCAAGGTTAAAGATGATTAAACATTTCTTGCCAGAAAGCAACGAGTCTTCAAATTTTAGTCATGTTACTTCGCGTCTTAATTATCAACTGCTGGCCGAGGTATTTATTTTTATTTTTATTTTTTTTTAGATTTGTTGATTTCTGTATCTTTTTAGCCTTTTTTTCTGATTAAAATTGTTTTTCTTTAATTCAAGAAAATGGAGGGCTATTCTGGCTCAGATATTCGTTTAGTTTGTAAAGAAGCTGCAATGCAACCTGTTCGAAAAATATTTGATGTGTTGGAAGATTTTAAAGGTAAATGTCTTAATGTCGTATTTTTGACTACGCACAGAGTTTCTCATTAAATTTCGAAAAAAATAAAAAATTTCAAGTTTCTTTTAAAATATGTATTAAAAAATAAATATAATTATTTTAAATATATATATTTAATGCCTAAAAAATAAACTTTTATATATAAATTCATAAAAACATGGCATAACATAACAGGAAAAAATCCGAGATGATCATATTACGTTAGTCTTAATAATTCAACTTTATTTACCTTAATTATATAGTGGGTGTTTAACAATTATATAGTAAGTGTTTAATAGTTATAATAATAATAAAAAAGATAACAGTTTAGGGAAGGGACTAGGTGAGCATTTTTTACTATATCTACACTCTAAGAAAAAATCCGTTATATACAACGAATTGTATCTGTCGCTATTGCACTAACAGGAAATCCATTAAGTTAACGAACTAAAATTTTAACGAATTGAAGTCCATTAGGAATAGTCCGTTGAATTTACGGATTTATTTCGTTAGTGCAACGAATAATCCGTTAAAATTAAGGAGTTATTACACTAGGCAGCAAATTTTCCGCGGTTGTTATTCCTATGAAATAAATGTGTTAATAAGTTATTTTAGTGATTATTTCGTTAAAATCACTAAAATCTAAAATTAGAGAGGCCAGAATTGTGACTTCATAACCAAATAATCCTTATATTTGTTAATGTTTGCATTTTTATTTAATTGCATTATTTTATTTCGATATTCTACATTAAAACGTTTTAACCAAAAATTGAAAACTAATCAAATATTTATAATATCTGATATACTTTAAATTACAATAAAAATACATTAAAAAAAATTTTAATACACTATACTCAAGCTAGTACATTTATATAAAAAACACACATATATATAATAGATGTTTAAAATAAACCAATGCCAAGATAGTTTTTGGTCGCTAGTTTTGGTTTGGTTGGTTTAAATACTATAGAAAGTGTTTTTGGTAATTCATTATATACAAATTTCTATTCTAAATTTTGTTATTTTAATTATCTCTGATATCGTTTTTTTAAAGATAAAGTTAAATGGAACAAGTAAATTATATCTTTATTAAAATGTAAATTAAAAAAAAAGTATAAGATTGCCTTGATATTATCTGATAACTGAAAGACTCTATACATTTCACATACATCAATACCTATCAAGTCTCTAACCTTTTAAAAACTATGATAAATCAAAACAAGATTAAATATGCAGACCAAAAAAAAACGCAAGTAACTATATAAAAAAATTAATTTTACAACTTATTTAAACTTACAGTGTCATACCACTTGTCACATGTTTAAAATAGCTAATTCTAAAATAATAGAGAATATAGAATATAGTAGAATAATAGTTAAAAAAGTGTGATATAAACTTAGTCTTAACTAAACTAAAAAAATATGCATGCCAAAAGAAATGCAAGTTAAAATACAATTTTTTTAAATTTACTAATTCAAACTTACAGTGGGATACCACATGCCACGTGTCTAAAACAGTAAATTTTAAAATAATATAAACACGCCAGATATAAACTTATTATTATTATTATTAATAATAATAGTTGAAACTCAACTAAATAAATATGCACGCCAATAGAAATGCAAGTTACAATATAAATTTTACAACCAATTTAAACTTACAGTACGACAGCTTATACCAAGTGTCTAAAATAGCAAATTCTGAAATAATATAAACAAGCCATACACAAACTTAGTTGTAATCTAATTATATGAACGTCAAAAGAAATGCAAGTTAAAATATAATTTTTTTTTAAATATACTAATTAAAACTTACAGTGGGATACCACATGCCACGTGTCTAAAACAGTAAATTCTAAAATAATACAAACACATCAGATATAAACTTAGATTAAACTCAACTAAATAAATATGCAAGTTACAATATAAATTCTACAACCAATTTAAACCTACAATGTGACACTAAATGCTATGCCTCTAAAGCAGCAAATTCTAAGATAGTATAAATAAACAAACATGAATGTTAAAAGAAAAAGAAGTTCCAATATAAATTTTTTAATTTTACAACTAGTTTTAACTTACAGTGGGATAACAAATGCCATGTGTCTAAAACAAAAAATTCTAAAATAATATAAACACACCAGTATAATCTTAGTTTATGATATTGGATGCCACATGTTTAATTTGGAAATTAATAAAAATTGCAATTTATAAAAGCATATTAACTAGCCATGTAAACTTAGCTGTAATTAACCTAAATAAATATACCTATCAAAGATGTTAACATTTTTAATTTTACAACTGATTTAAACTAATATGGTACTAATATGGTATGTTACTACATGTCATATGTCAAAAATATAAAGTTAAACAAGACTATAAATAATCCATTTAGTCTATATTATAGAAATAATTGTTCAACTAACCCTTTACTACTAGTAAAGGATCAGTTGATTTTTTATTTCTATAATATAGACTATATAGATTGCATATATTCTTGCATAATTTTCTAGATTTAGACATGTAGTAACTTACCATATATTATATGTATTAACTTACCATATGTTATTATATATTATTTAGTAATACTAATAGCTTTTAATTAATAAAATAAACTAATTAAAAATTAAAAAATAAAATAAACCTTATTGTTAAATTTTCTGTATAAAGCTTTATATAGAAAATTTAGAATAAGTTAAATAACCTTCGAAATAGCATAGCGTAATTTAAATTATATTTATCTATTTGCTTTGTCTACTAAATTTAAAACTTTTTAAAAAATGGCATATTACACTTACTGCAACCAACTTTTATCTACGATGTAAACGTAAATGTGAGAAAAACGCATTCAAAACTTTATCATTTTCAAAATAAAAAGATATAATATACTGAAAATTTTTTTTTGACCGATTAGAATATTTAATCCATTGAATTAACGAAATTTCAAAGAATCCGTAAATAGTTAATTTTACTCCGTTAATTTTCTGGTTTATGGTAACGAATTAGGGTAATTCCATGTCAAAACAACAAGTCGAAATAACCCACCATCTTAGAAATACTTGATTTTTGGCACAAATGCAGTTAATAATGTCGTTAGTAATAATAATAAATAATTTGGAGTCAATTTCATTATTTTAAGAGTTATGGGTCTTTGAAGTTTAAGAATTTTTAAATTTTTTTATTCTCCGCTCTCTTAGCAACGTCTATAGCAACACTAAAATGTTGAAGTATACACAGTTACATTAACCATTCGTTTACAAAATTTAATAGGTATAGAAACTTTTGAATAAAGAAATCAAAAATCATTACTTTAAGTTATTAGATCTTATATTTGATTAAAAACTTTGCAATGCAAACTGGACTTTTAACAATAATTTTTTAGTAAACATGTCTAGTTTAAGATTAGTTGCAGAAAATTGATCTATTCACTTTAAATCTTTACAAAAATAGTTTATATATAAATGCCTGTAAGAGGCAAAAATTATTTCATTGTTTTTTGATGCACATATCTATTTTATTATTGTTTTATTTTTGCAATTTTATTTTTGCATTTTTATTTACCGTTTTGGTTATAATCTCCATTTAAAGATTATAACTAAAATAATTTCTCACAAAAAAAAAATGATTTCTCACATAAGTATTATACTCAAATGTTAGAACCAGTTGCTCAGTTTAATTAATTAAACAAGAAACCAGAAATTCATTTTTATTTTAAACTAAATAAGTCTAATCATATGATTACACTTATTTAGTTTAAAATAAAAATGAATTTCTGGTTTCTTTTTGTGTTAATTAAATGGAAAAATTGATTCTAACATTTGAATTTTGATTATAATACTCATGCGAGAATTTATTATTTATATAATAATAGTTTTAGAAAAATAAAATATTGAAATTAAATATTTTTATAATGGCAACATCACAATGCTCAGTTGGATTGATTTTAAAATCAAATTGTCACAAGTTAACATTTACAAACCACATTGGAATAAATTTTTTTCAAGATTTAGCTCCAGATGAGCAAAATTTAGTTGTTGGTGTTTCTTCTGTTTTGATTATTGACTTATGTTTTCATCATCAAAAGTTTTATGTTGAGAAGTTCCCTGTGTTTCAGAATAAATGCTGTGATCCACTGTTAGTTCACAAAAGACCGTGCAAAGGTTAGTAAAGCTTGTCATAAATTTTATAATAGTAAATTTGTGATAATTTTAAGTTCTTTATGTTTGTTAATAGTTGGCACATTTTACTTTATTAAGTTATATTTTTTAATTTAGAATCTCTCAGAGAAGTCAAGAACTATAAGCTTTAAACAACAGGATCAATATTGTACCTGGTCAAAAAATTTGTACAAATTGCTTAGTCAAATTAAAAGCTTCCACTGAAATTAATACTGATAACATTAATATTGTTGATGATTACACAAATGAAAGTATAAATAAAGAAAACATATTTAGTGTTCAACACGAAGCTGATATAAATAAAAACAGACAAGAATTTTCTGATTGTCTCAGTATAATTGGTGTGTCACTAGTCAAGCTTCACAGAAAGCCATTTGCAAATCATATGAGTATTTTTTTTTTTTTTTTTTTTTATTTGCATTCACTCCCAACAAGGCTGCAAGCAACCACTATTAAGTTGGGAGTTACTAGGAAAAAAAAGAAGAACAGAGTTATAGAGCAAGGAAACGGTTGACAGAAGACTTAAAAAGTTGAAGGTTGTATGAGTCAGGAAAACATGAAGATGGGAGAGAGTTCCAAAGGATTGAAGTGCGGGGAAAAAAACTAGACGAATAAAAGTTTTTAGAGCATGCAGGGACAGATACATTAAACGAATGAGACTTAGCTGAATGACGAGTAAAACGAGAATGAATTTTAGTTGATGGAACTAGAGATGATAACTCCTTTGAGCAGTGACCATGATAGTATCTATAGAAAAGAGAAAGAGATGCAACTTTACGACGATGGGAAAGAGGTTCAAGCTTAGCAGATAGTCCAGGTCCAACAACATTTACAATGCGTTTTTGGACCTTGTCAAGAAGAGAAAGAGAATCGTTAGAAGAACCAGCCCAAATATGACAACAGTATTCCATACAGGGTCGAATAAGAGATTTGTAGAGGTAGAGAATGGAATCAGAAGTAAGGAAATGGCGAGCACGATAAAGAGAAGCAACCTTAGCAGAAGCTAATTTAGCAATCGATTGTATATATGGTTTCCATGAAAGGTCAGTAGTAAGCGATAATCCAAGAAGACGTAAAGAGGATGACTCAGTAAGAGGATTGCCATTCATTAATATAGGAATGTTGACCATATTACGGTAGTTGTTTGCAGTAAGCAATTGGGTTTTTTTAGAGTTGAAATTCACAAGCCACTGTGAACCCCAATCAATTACTGAAGTGAGATCGGATTCAAGATCAGCTGCTTGTTCTAGGCGATCGAAAAGAGAAGACTTTTTGTCAAGACAGGAGTATAAAGTTGAGTCATCAGCAAAAAGAGCTACTTTAGATGAAAGGTTGTCAGGAAGATCGTTTATGTAGATAAGAAACAAAACAGGGCCCAGGATGGAACCTTGGGGAACCCCAGAAGTTACTGGAAATAAAGAAGAGTGTTGGCCTTCAAGGATGACTTTAATAAACCGGTTAGAAAGAAATGATTTGATAATCTCAAAAACTTTTCCAGAAACACCATATGAAGCAAGCTTATGGAGAAGACCAGCGTGCCAAACTTTGTCGAAAGCTTTAGATATGTCGAGAGCAATAGCCCTAGCCTCACCGCCTCCATCTAATGCACGATAAAATCTTTCAGTTACAGCAGTTAGCAAGTCGGCCGTAGAGCGAGAGGATCGAAAACCGTATTGATTGTCTGACAGCAGTTTATTTGACTCAAGATGAGATGTGAGGAATTTGTTGATCAAAGACTCAAAGACCTTGCTAATAACAGAAAGAAGACTGATCGGACGATAATTGGAGGGGTCAGAATTTTCTCCAGAGTTTTTGAATATTGGAACTACAGATGCCATTTTCCAAGAAGCAGGAAAACAAGACTCAGTCAAACACTTGTTAAATAGTTTAGAGAGAATTGAAGAAAGTTCTGGAGAACAATTCTGCAAGACTGTGACAGGAATGTTGTCTGGACCACAAGCTGTAGACGAGTTTAATTGAGATATGACTTTAGCAACAGAAGCCGGAGTGATTTGAATGTCTAACAATGGGTCAACCTGTTTGACTGGAATGGAAGGAAGAGAATGTCCATAAGATTCAAGAGTGGAATTAGAAGAAAAGTTCTTTGCAAACAGTTCTGCCTTATCCCTGGGAGAGGAAACAAGATCAGTCCCATGAATGAGAGATGGAATGTTAGATCTACCCTTGTTAACAATGCTGTTGAAGATTTTCCAAAAGTCTTTAGAGCCTAACTTCTGCGATAAGATGCGAGATTTAGTGAACTGAGAATAATGGAGTTTAGCATCAGAAAGCACCTTTTTACATCGATTTCTTGCAATAATAAATAGCCGTTTGTTCTCAAGAGAGTTGTTCTTTTGAAAAAGATGAAAAAAATGATTACGATTGGATATAGCAGCCGCACAAGAAGGAGAAAACCATGGAGTAGAATGAGGCTTGACTTGAAACCGACGAGAAGGAATAAAAGCTTCCATTCCAGCCTGAATCCAGGAGGTAACGTAGGAGGCGCATTTGTCAGCTGGGAGAGAAAAAACATGAGCCCAGGGACCATCACGAAGAAAATCACGAAAGGAATCCCAGTCAGCTTTAGGGTAGTAGTAGGTGGTGCGATGATAAGGTGAGCCCAAAAAAGAAGTACGAGAAGAAAGATTTATAGAGATCATTGCATGGTCAGAACCACCTAAGGGAGAAAAGGGAGAAACAGAACATAAGCTAGGGTCAGAGACAAGACATAAGTCAAGGAGTGAAGGTAAATGATTAGGGTTGTCAGGAAAACGAGTCACAAAGTTAACTATCTGAGTAAGAGATTGAGAAACGCAGAAGTTAAAGGCTTTAGTGCCAGCAGGATCAGTGGTGTTAGAGCCAAGCCATTCAGTGTGATGGGCATTAAAATCACCAACAACAACAATATTGGCAGAGGGGTAAAGAGAGAGGGCATGGTCAATTTGATCAGAGATAACATCTAAAAGAGTGCAATCATGGGAAGAAGGAGAACGATAAAGAACAAAGAGAAAGGTGATAGAGTGAAGAGGTGCTAGGCGAAAGCACATAAAAGAATGGTCAAAGGATTCGAACCTGATTTCACGACAAATAGGGGAATTAATGCGTATGTATACCCCTAAACCTAGCATGTGACTATTGGAGTCTTTACGAATCAAAGGATAGTACCCATCAACACTGACATCTGAAGAAGGAATTGCAGAATTTAAATTTGTTTCACTGAGTGCCAGCAAGTCTGGTGAATTTTGCAGGAGGTAAGACTCAACTGATGGAAAGTTGCTTCGTAGACCGCGAATATTTGTAAAAGATATATTAAAATATTTAGGTGGTGGGGATGGTTTTTTAGGTTTTAAATTTTTGGTTACTTTGGTCATGATTTGGATTTAATGAGAACTTGACTCATTCATAGATAGAGCACAGCCTCCTAATCAATGAGCTATGCAATTGTCTCAGTCCTGTTAATTAACCCTAAGCCGTGACATAGGGCTCCTTATGTGGCCTTGACAATGCACACCAAAAGCATTAACAGGGACACCATCCATGCGCAACATGGCACTGTTAATACTCTGATATTTTGCAGCTGTTGATGGAATCAGCCTCTCTGAGAGCTACCACAGAGTTCGGGAAACCTTACTACCAGCCGGCCTCAGAACCATTAAACTGAGTTTTAGAGCTGTACCCTCATATGGAGATAACAGGAAGAGTTGCATAGCCATTATCAAGGAGGCATAAGCAAAATTCTATGAGTAGAGTCAAGGAGATCCAGCATTCATCATCCTAGGCAGGAAACAATGTAACACAGGTTACATCTACGCCAGCCTAATAGATGAAGAAGGGGTTCGAGGCTGGTTAGCAGAATTTTTCTGCTTACCCCTAAAGTCTTTGCCTAGGAGGCCTTCTACAAGACAGTAGCAGGATGCAGTTAACATCTGCCCAAGATGAGTATTTTTATCGAGACACCATCTCTAGCCTTTACTCAACCAAGAGCCCCAAGGCAGGGGATGTTTAGCTGGATGCAGTTAACATCTGCCCAAGATGAGTGTTTTTATCGAGACACCATCTCTAGCCTTTACTCAACCAAGAGCCCCAAGGCAGGGGATGTTTAGCTGGATGCAGTTAACATCTGCCCAAGATGAGTGTTTTTATCGAGACACCATCTCTAGCCTTTACTCAACCAAGAGCCCCAAGGCAGGGGAATTTTTAGTCGGAGTTTATTTCTCCTAGCCTTTGCATAAGAAGAGCACACTCTGCAAGGCAGCAGGGTTTGTGGCAGGTGGTACTGGGTTACGTGATACCAGTAGCAAGAATGATCTCGATTATCCTGACCTGACCTGGAGTAGTTAAAAGGAGCTACTTCCCGCAACAGTACTTTGATAAAACCAGGCATGACATTTTGAAGTGCATTAGGAAAAACACTGCATCTAACAAAATACAGGAGTCTAAGGTGAGTGTATGTTTTGTAGTTAGAGTAAGTAGTTAGTTACTGAGCTCACGCTGCATTAGAGTATAAACAGAACACAAACAAACATAAATCAACTTACGGGTGAGTCAACACCGCGCCAGAGGTTCAGACAGAACACAAACATACATAAAAAACATAAAGTAACTTACGGGTGAGCGAACACCGCGCCAGAGGTTCAGACAGAACACAAACATACATAAAAAAACATAAAAAACATAAACATAAACATAAAGTAACTTACGGGTGAGCGAACACCGCGCCAGAGGTTCAGACAGAACACAGACACACATAAAGAACATAAAGTAACTTACGGGTGAGCGAACACCGCGCCAGAGGTTCAGACAGAACACAAACATACATTTAACGTAGATTACAGGTGAGCTAATACAGTAACTAAAGCACCTCCAACTACATGGGGAAAAAAAAAAAAAAAAAAAAAAAAAAAAAAAAATTACTATAGGCATGACTGGTATAAGATAGTACTGATGACAGGAAGAACACTCCTTCCAGCCTTTGCTTAGATAGCAAATCCTGCAAGGCAGCAGAACATGGAACATGGAGTATTGGGAAGAAAAAAAATTAAAACTACTTTTGTCAAGCTTAAAAGAGTTATTTGTCTCATTTTAAATTCTATATCCACATGTAAAGTTGGGTTTTTCAAAGTTTTGTGTTTTAAGACCTAAATGGTGTGTTTTGCCAAACTCATCAGGAACCCATTCTGTGTGCGTTTGTATCTACCATCAAAACATGAAGTTAATTCTCCTACTTATTAAAATTGATTACCGCAAACTATATAAATTTATTGTTTGTGATATGCAAAACAAAGAATGCATGTTACATCGATGTAAACAATGTCCAAAAAATACATCTAAATTAGAAGAAAAGCTATTCAAACTAATAGGGCAGTTTGAAGAAAAAGATACTATTGAATTTAACCAGTGGGTTACTACTGATAGATCAGTTTTAGTTATACAGCTTGCAACCATACCAGATTATGTAAATATGGTGATGGAAAAACTAGTCAAGCTAACAACGCATTCATATATTTCTAAATGTCAATCTAAATATTTAAAAAATCTAGAAAAACTGCCATCAGGTAGCGCAATAATTCTAGGAGATTTTGCAGAAAACTATAGTTTTGTTGTGCAGGATTAAGTACAAGGTTTCCATTGGAATAATCTCCAGTGCACACTTCATCCAGTGGTTGTGTACTATAAAGAAAATCAAGTGTTGCATTCCACTTCATATTGCATTATATCAGATGATAACAATCATGATGTACCAATGATTTACGAGGTACAAAAATCAATTATCAATAATCTGAAGCAAAAAATACCCAGCATTGTAAACGTGGTCTACTTTTCAGATGGCTGTTCATCTCAATATAAAAACTGCAAAAATATATTTAACCTATGTCAGCATAAATCAGACTTTGGAATAGATGCAAAATGGGTTTTCTTTGCAACCAGCGATGGAAAGCAACCTTGTGATGGTATAGGATGAACAGTTAAACGGCTTGTAGCTAATACTAGTTTGCAGAGAATTTCTACAAATCAAATATTAAACTCACATGATATATTTACATATTGCACTAACAGCATCAAAGGTATAAACTTTATTTTTATTTCAAGTGAAAGTTTGATAGAAACAAGATTATTACAATCTGAACAATTTAAAAATGTAAAAACAATACCAGGAACAAGAGACTTTCATGAATTTGTTCCTGTATGTCATAATGAAGTTAAGATGAAATACTGCAGTGATGACACTATCCCCAACTTGACCTACAAGTTTAAAAATTGCGAGATGCAAAGTGATGTGCAAAATTGACATAAAATTTTAATTTATGCACCAACATGGGCCTTGAATCTTAAAGATATTTTCTTGCTTCCTTTTATCAATTGTTACTTCGAATCGACAGTTTGCTTATGTCTATGATATGTATATGACAATATTTTGCATTTATTAAAAAATATTACCTAATTTTGTTTTGTTTTACAGTCCAAAGAAAAACAAAGAAAATTTGAAGTTCAATAATTTGTATAAAAATGTATCAATTCATAAAAGCACAAACAATTCAAAGAGTTTTGATATTCAAAATTGAGTTTATTTATAGACATGTTATTTATAGACATGTTATTTATAGACATGTTATTTATAGACATGTTATTTATAGACATGTTATTTATAGACATGTTATTTATAGACATGTTATTTATAGACATGTTATTTATAGACATGTTATTTATAGACATTTTATGAATATTGCAGTTTTACACCTAAGTGAAAATACTTCTTATTTTTTGACTAGCTTTGAGTGAAAATACCTGTTTTTAGTATTTAAATATTTTTAATTGAGTTTATCAAATATCCATATTGTAGTTTTACACATAAGTAAGAATTCTTACTTTCTGGTTCTGCCTAAACATAAGTACCAATCAATCTTCTGTCTCAATCTCAATATACTTTCAACCAAAAATGAAAATTAAATTGTTTAGATTAGTAAGTCAAAAAGCAGCTCAGTTTTTTTGTTTTTTTTTAGATGTTTATATATACTTTAAGATTATGAAGTTTGGAAATATATAAATCATAACCTTTTCTGTAATTCTTTTTATAGTAAGCATGTTTACTTTTCAATTTTATTAAAAAAGCTGATTTACTCTTATTGACTTATTAATAAATAAATAAAAATATTATTTCTTGGTATAATTTTATGGTTTAGCATCTAAAATCATGTGGAAAATTTCAAATTATGAAACAATATAGTTAAGGTAACAACGTATGTATTATAATTTACTTGTTACTAAGGACGTTGCTAGGGGAGCATCATAAGTAAAAATGTTACTAAGTTTTAATATTTAAACGAGCATAACTTCTAAAATATTCCGATTTGTTTAAAACAACTTTGGCGAATTCTTTTTTGCCTAGTTGAGTATCTTTGTTGCAAAAATCAAGTCATTTAGAGATAGTGGGTTATTTTTTTGAATTTTTGTTGTTGTTTTGACATGGAATTACCCACTAATCCGTTAATTTGACAAAAAAGCGCAATCCGTTACTTTTTTTAACGGACTGTTTTTAGAGTGTAACAGATTTCTTGAATGGTGCATTGGATTTAAACAGTTTTTGCACAAATAGAAAGGTTATTTAACCTGCTAAAATTAGTTGAAAAAAACAAAACATTTAAAAACCGTATTTTTTGTGATATTGCTTAACTTTTATCAAGCTACTCAACCAGCTCCAGCGGGACAAGTTAAGGCAATAATAAACGAACAAATACTTATGTATGATAAAGAATCATCACAAATCTTAAATATATATGTTATTGACAAGAATTTATTTAAATTCATGTAATGCGCAATTTTGAGATATTTTATTTTCCCAACTTGCCACGTGCTTAAATAGCCCAGCTCTTATATAGATGGCGAATAAAAAATAAACTGATTTTGTAAAAATTTCTTCATACTTATCTCTATTTTAAATTCAACGGTACGTTGCATTTGTTTTTATCTTCTCAAAAGAATTTTTCTATTTTTTTGTGTTAACTTTTTTAAATTCAATTGTGTGTATTGACAGATGGGTGCATCTTACCAGAATTTCGAATAGATCCGATTACGACGTGTGATTTCGAATCTGCTTTAGAGCGTACCAAACCTTCAGCAAAGAATCTGTTATCAAAGTATGAAGAATGGAAAGATAAATTTGAGTCTTCATGAAAATGTATTTAGTGTAAATTTAAAAATTTATTTTTATCTTAACTTATAATAAATATTTATAAAATATTCAAGTATTCAACAAAAAATTTTATTAACTCGATTTAACTCTTTTATGACTCCTTTAATATTCGTTTTAACTCGTTGATAGTACATTAAAGAACAGTTTTTTTACAACGTAAAAACCTAATAATATATTCGAATATTTCAAAATTATGAAGAAATCACTTTAGACCCTCGGTCTAAGGTGAATGAAATGTCATTTTCATATGAAAAGTCTTTTAAAATGTATAAAGTACCCCACAATAATACCCTAGTATTATTGTATAACTAAAAAAGTTACTATCTGTTCTAGTGATGTAACACCCTCAACCTTTTTGTGGTGGTAAACCATAATACTGTGTCCATTATAAACAGAATCTAAGTCTTTCTACAACATGCTTTGCATTAGGATTTCTTTAAAATACATGAACCAATTCTGGCAAGCCCATAAGTGGGCATGTAATTTTGTAGTCCTTTTTACCATATATACGACAAAAAAAATAGCAAAAAAAAAAAATTATTTTTCAATATATTGCAAATTATTTTTTTTATTATTATCCGTTAAGATCCTAAAATAATTTCACTTTGATAAAACAATTGCACAAATTCTGTTAATCTGATATATGTGATTTGTTTACTACAGCATGTAATTATGTTGTCCTTTTTACCGTATATATGGCAAAAAGGGTAATTATAAAAAATTAATTTCCAATATACTGCTAATTATTTTTTTTATTGTTATCCGTTAAGGTTCTAAAACAACTGCACCATGTTCCTATCACCAGAAGCTGATCCAACATTTTTTGGTCTTTGAGATAGCTAACTTCCAGACATGGAGCTAACTCCAAACATTTATATGTTTATAATATTGTCAAATAAGGATGCTTTGCAAAAAATTGCTATGATTGGAGTTTGGTAACAAAAAAGCCCCAAACGTGAGAGAAACAAATTAATGAAATAATTTTTTTACTATTTCCAACTAGACTTATATTCATCGATACATTTTAAATTTCATAGTAAAATATTTTAGCGTTCAAAAATTATGACCATATAAAGTTTAAACCCCCCTTCATTTGAGGGGGTTGCAAATTTTATATGGTCGTAATTTTTAAACGCTGAGAGATAATACTATAAAACTTAAAATTTATCAATGAATATAAGTCTAGTTGAGAATAGTAAAAAAAATATTTCATCAACTTGTTGCTCTCACGTTTGGGGCAGGGGGCGAAAATTTTTTTTTTTTTTTTTTGTTCCCAGCCTCCAATCATCGCAATTTTTTGCAAACCCTCATTATTTGAAATAAGTATAAACATATACATGTTTGGTGTTAGCTCCATGTCTGGAAGTTAGCAATCTCAAAGACCAAAAAATGCTGGATTTGCCCCTGCCTCTCACAATACGAATTGATGTATTAATGTTAGTTTGTAATTTAAGCATTTCATCCCAACAAATTGTATAATGGTTGCTTTGGATTCTGGATTATTTTTTGGCACTCCATTTTCCCACAATTTTTAGCAGTATGAGTTTATGCAGTTTAAAATGTTTTTCTCAAAATCATAACAATTACATTTAGTTTTTTCTTCGTCAGCTATTAAAAAAAAAATTTTATTGTGATTATTCTTTACTGTTTTAATTTGTTTTGGTAAAAAGTTGAAGTTTGAAAAAAAAAAAGGAGGAAACTATAGGTAGTAGCTTTAGTTTACTTGAAAGAATTAAAAAATGTTTACAATGAAAAACCGCATAATATTGATCGTAGTTGCGTCATGTTAATCGTAATCGTTGCAATTAAAAGTTCATTTAACGGCAAAGAAATAAATCAGTTTTAGAGAAACTTTTGCTGAATGCAAAAGTTTAAATTGTCTGAACAGCTGAATTTAAATTGTCTAACAATAAAATTTCATTTTTTGTGTGTTTTTTGTTTTGCTTGATGTCATTATTTAATTCGAATTGTTATCTGAATAAATCTTTGCCAAAAAATCATTAGCAGATTATACTAATAAACTAAATTTATAGCTCTAAAATGTTATGGACCAAGTAGTCTTTTGAATTCGATCAAAGACCAAACATTGTTTAAATTATAGTACTTAATGAAAAGGTAGTTTTATGTTTAAAAATAAGTTATTGATAAAGTTGAGGTATATTTATTACAAATAATTATTTTTATTAAAACTATAGAAATGGATTAACAAAGTGCGTCATCTGCAACTCAATTAAAAATAAAACAAAATTATAACAAATTACTTCAAGGAAGATTCCTAAAGTAACCTTTCCGTTGTAAATTAAGTAAATTAAAAACACGACACGGGCGGGCCAGGGGACACGTGCCCCACTTTTTTTCTAAAGGACCTTTTTTTTTTTTTTATTTTTTATAAGAAAAATCTTGATGTAGAGAACTTTTTTCACAAATTGATAATTGTGCCTCCCTCCCCCCCCCCCCCCCCCACTTCAAAACCCGTGTCGTCGGCCCTGCACGACACTTGTAAAGTTCATTATAATGTCCTTTTCAATGGGCTTATCATTAGTTGCATACTGTGGCAAAAGTAAATTTGGGTTTAAACTAAGCCAAAATAAAACGTTTATCTTCAATCGATAAGATAAAATCCAGACCATCAGAAAATAAAATTATTAACTCTACACTCTTTACATACAGTGTGACGTAATTATTTTTAACTTTTATAAGCTTAAATTGCAAACTCGTAAATAATATTTGATTTACAATTAATTTTCCCGGTGTAATTATGAAAATTTTAATTATGAAAATGTCTAAAAATACAACAACATTTTAACAAATGTCTCAACCCTTTTCCTTACCTATGAGTGTGACACACTTTAAGGGCGACCCCTAAAGTAACCTTCTATTCTATATAATTTCACAAAAATGGGCTAGTTTTTGCGTAAAACGTGTTAATTCGAACGATTGAGTCAGAGAATTTTAGCGTAAATTTCACACCGTGATATTTTGAATGATATTACTTTTTTTGTTTACAAACAATCGATATATTGTATACAAACAATCCATATATTTTGTTACAAACAATCCATATATTGTATACAAACAATCGACATATTGTATACAAACAATACATATATTTTGTTACAAACAATACACTTTAAGGTATTTGATTTCAAAAATGTATTGTGCTCGTTTGTTTATTAGAAATTAGTTGTTATGGTTTATTACAATGGTTTGGCAGAGGAGTTTGTAAATAATTCAGCAGCTACAGTTAATGTAGGATTACATTTTATTTCATTAACTGCCATCTACTTTGAACTTTAAAAGTAATTTTAATATTTCAGCTTAAAAAAATGTTTTATGAAATAATATAAAAAATTAACTCAAATATATTTAAACGTATACGCATGAAACTACATGAATCTATAGTTTCATGAAGTATTACATGAATCTATAGTTTCATGAAGTATTACATAAATCTATAGTTTCATGAAGTATTACATGAATCTATAGTTTCATGAAGTATTAAAAAATAAATATTAAGTCATTAGCGGACTTAATGAAAAAATTTTTTAAGACTAAAAAATGAATTGCTAAAATGATCTATACTTGCAGTACTTGTTTTAAATAAAAAGCTTATAAAAAGTTACTATAGCATTTTTTTACATATACATTAAATAAACAGTATGATAATATAATTTCTTCCACTAAAGGTTCCCACTACCACCTGCTCTCAGTTGATCTACTTTCAATCAAAGAAGCTTTATCCGAGAACCTTTTCTGAAATAAAATCTTTTGCTCTATTACTGAATTCTTGGCTTCAATATATCTTATTTGTTTTTATTTTTTATGCAATATGCAGTTAGCATTCAAAGCATCTTATCCAAGCGTGCAAGCTTGAAAAACCATACTGGAGAGTATAAGTGGAATACTTTTTTTAATAACCATTTTAATTTCATTCATTTCTGATGGGATCCATACACTAAAACATGACTGACTAGTCAGTTGCGTTGGATAAGGCAGTGCGCACCTTTTCATCAATCATGATTTTGATATGGTTTGTAATAAATATTTTTCGCTCTTCAAAAAAAATGATGGATGGAATCAAACTTACCATTTCATTTATAAGTTTACTTTCTTTATCACAACACAGATTTAGTTAAAGGATTTTAACTAAAATTTTAACATTTAATAAAGTATGAGAGCTGCTTTCTGACCAGTTTAACCACCAAATTTTTAATATTGCATTGCTTTATCAAACGGAAGACTCTTCGTTTATTGAGAAACGATTATTCCTGATACATTTGTATATTTCAAAAAATTACGTTATACAGCTAAAAAAAAAGTAAACAGTATAGCGCGAATGAAAATAACACCTGCTCCATAAAATTTGAGACTAACTTAAATTAGCGATATTTATTTAGTAAGCTTGATAAAATAGTTAGTAATTGGTATCAAATGAAAGCTCTATCTTTCCTTTATTCAATTAGTATATAAACTCTCTGATTATTTTTTGTTTAGATAATAACTTAAAATGGCGTATCAACAAGCTCTAAAAAGTTGTGTGTATCATTTTTATAAAAAAAAAAAAACATGAAGATGGACAACACGTTGTTTGGAACCATTTCAAGATGGAGGGCTACTCAAAAGCTACAATTTATAGATATATGAACAGTTACGATCAAAATAAACATTTGGGTCGCAAAGCTTGAAGTGGTAGAAGGCTTACTCTTAATACACAAAACAACCGCATCAAATTAAGGAAAATGTTTAACAATTTATGTTTAACAGGCTTCTAGAAGACTTTTATATATAGTTATAGCAAAAGCACCATCGGACGAATCTTAAAATGCTTTAAAAAGTCTATTTTTTGTTATAAAAGAAAAAAAGACCAAGCAGAACTCCTGAACAGAGGCTTTTGGATCGCCGAAAATGTGATCGACTTTATTCAAAATATAGCAACCATGAATTTATTATTGACGATGAGTCATACTTTATTTTGTCGAATAGCACACTGGCTGGTAAAAATACATACTATTCAAATGATCAAAAATTGACTCTAGACATTGTTAAATATTATGATGTTGCAAAATTTAAAAAAAA